TGGATTTTTATCATTATAGGGTGGTTGTGTACACACACTGCCAACACACATTTCAGTTCCAACAACTTGTAAAAGTGCATGTAGTATCCGATGACCCATTTAAATACCCTAGATTTAATATACCTATATTTCATACTATAGCAGTCAAAAGTTTTTAACAGTAAGATTTGTAATGTTTTTTAAAGAAGTCTCTTCTGCTCACCAAGAAAGATCAGCATTTATCTGAAATAAAAAGCTTTTGTAACATTGCCCATGGACTATACCGAAAGCTTGGAGTCAGTATAATTTTTTATTGGGGGGGATTATAGAAATTAATACTTTTATTTAGCAAGGATGCTTGAATAATAAAGACATTTACAATGTAACAAAAGATTTCTATTTCAGATAAATGCTGTTCTTCTGAACTTTCTTTTCATCAAACAAACCTGAAAAAAAAAATCTAATCTGTTTTCAACATAATAATAATAATGTTTTTTGAGCAGCAAATCAGCATATTATAAAGATTACATTTTTAAATATATTCAAATAGAAAACAGTTATTTGAAATAGCCTAGTAAAATATTTCACAATATTACTGTTTTTGCTGTATTTTGGATCAAATAAATGCAGGCTTGGTGAGCAGAAGAGACTTCTTTAAAAAACATTAAAAAGCTTACTGTTCAAAACCTTTTGACTGGTAGTGTATTATTAAAACACAATTTTTAAAGTGTCTAAATGTCAAAATTAGTACAATATATTTCTTGAAAAAGTCTTAATCAGCCAAATCAGAAAAGAAATGAAGAAAAATCGGGCCAAATCAGCTGCCAGGCCACCGGGAATTCTCCCGGTGCTCCCGATGGCCAGTCCGGGCCTGTATCCAACACAACAGCTACATTAGGGCCTTTAAATCATGGTGGGTGAGGGCGTTTTCGTACGCGTTTGGCCAATCAATGTCTACTTGCGTCGCGATTAGTACCAGTTGTGCTGGTTAGACCCTGCTCCGGAGTAGGAGCTAATTTGGTTCTCGAAAAAGGCAGTCCGGTACTAAAATCGCACCCAGTTCCAGCGGTGCGAAAACACCAAAAAGTGGGTAGTTCCACAATTAGTTCTGGTACTATGAAAAGGTTCCCGCGGTGCGAAAGGCCCTATTGTATGTCTTTTTTGTAAAAATTTTGTTATTTCACAGCAGGTCCAGGCCAGTGTTGCCAGGTCCGCGGTTTTCCCGCGGAATTGGGCTACTGTGACACTGTTGCTGGGGGTTTGAAGCGACCCCAATAATGTGATAAATAACCCTGGAATGCAAATTTTACCAGGGGAAGCCCGCCAAATAAAAAAACGTGTATTTTACCCCAAGGAACGTGAATGGGCTAGTTTTGAGTAGCAATTGTGCGGGTTTTGTTATGAAAACCTGGCAACCCTGGTGCAGGCCTGATTGCACACATGGACAACGCCGTTTAGCTTTACTGCAAACAAATACGTTCTAGCGTGTAAATGCTTTTAATAAGATAAAGTCAAAGTTGTGTATTCCGCTTTTTCTATTTGTTTAACTATATGACTTATGAAATTGGCAAGCAAGCATTGTTGCTGTTCACTCTGTACAGCCAGAAGAGGGCTTATTGCATTGTGCAAATTATTTGTGGCGCCATCTTATGGTAGCCTATATTTGGGAATGTTGACGAGGTAAAACTTAAAAAATAAATAAATCAAAAATCCGATGCTTTAATAGCAAGAGGATTCGCCGCACATTTTTATTCAGCAGCTTAATTTATAACTGCAGAACAATATTCTCATGTCACAGTTGTAGCTTACACCACAAACCTAACAGATACAATTTATGGAAAAACGATAATCAGATAAAAGCAAAATCAAAGATTATATCAGTATACACTTGCCTTTAGTACAGCTTCAGAATATAAAACGTTTCATTGGCATTCATGAATGCCATGCATGACATTAATGCTTCGAATGTATAAATGCTGTTAAATATGGTTGCTCCAAACCTTTATAGACGCCAGGGCAAATCAAAAATGTCTCCCTTTGAACATTTATAATATTTCCAAACACATATACATATAAATATTTTTGTATTTATATATTCATAATAAATATACACAGTACACACACATATATTATGTAAACAAGAACTTTTATTTTGGAAGCGATTAATCGCGATTAATCGTTTGACAGCACTAATATGGATATGTAAATAGAGTGTTAATGAAAAGAATAAGAGTGAAAAACAGTGTGTGCTGAAATGAAAGAAATTAAATTTCTTTTGCAATGCGCACATTTAGGAAGTGCAACTCTAAATACACTTCATTTTGTGGAAGACCATAGGGCAAATACTCTTGTAGAATTCACCAACACTAACTTTTCCAGCATCACAAACAACATCAAAATCTGCTGTCTGGCAAGATCACACTGCTGTTTTATTAGATTGTCCTTGCCTATTCCAAAATATTCAGAGTACGTGGACTGCAGACTTAATAAAGAAGATATAAATAAATGAATGCTGGTCGAAGTACTAACAAACATCATTTTCAAACTAGCAATTTATTTGTTAGTCACAGTCAAAGAGTGATACACTAGTTCCCAAGCAGGTTATATTATATCATTCTAATATTATATTTACAATGATAAAGTGAGTTTTGTTTCTGAGGTGGTGTGGTTGTGGTTTGGTAAGTAACCATAAGTGATATAGCTTAAAAATAAATAAAAACATATATTTCTGCCTTTTGACAATACAAATCTCAATATAACAATCTGAACCTATCAGCCATTGTAGCCTGTTAGTTTCAAAATTTTTAACACACATAAAATACAGTTACCAGGTCATGTTTCCCACAGTTTTTTTTTTTTTTTTTAATTTCATGACTTTTACTTGCACCAATAGAACAATAAACAGCAATAATTATGCATGATTTTTTTTCCATTAACATTTTTGATAAATGGTGCAAATTAATCAATTTTTAATTGGATTATTGAAGTGGACAGTTTGAAAACTACTTAAAAACATCGGTCTTAAAGAGATAGTAACACAAAAATAAAAATGCTGCCATCATTTACTCATCATGATGCTATTTCAATCCCATAAGACCCATAAGATAGACAGAAGCTTGTTCTCACTGATTCTCGTGAATCACACACACACACACACACACACACTCACACACACACTCATGTCTGGTCAGCTACATCCTTGTGGGGACTCTCCATAGGCATAATGGGTTTTATACTGTACTAACTGTATTTTCTATCGCCCTACACCAACCCTACCCCTAAACCTACCCCTCACAGGAAACTTTCTGCATTTTTACTTTCTCAAAAAAACTAATTCTGTATGATTTATAAGCTTTTGTACCCATGGGGACCTCAATTTAGGTCCCCACCGTGACACGAGTCCCCATGAGTCTGTGTGTATTCAGGTTTAAGTCCCCACCAGGATATATAAACCTGTACACACACACACACACATTTGAGCCTCTGTGTTTACTGTATGTTAATATGCAAATAAAAGCCAAAATTAAATCTGATCATCGTCATTAAAAAAATGATTGTATCTCTTCACAAGACTTGGATAAAACTGCTCAATTAATTTGGATTTTTTTTTTTTTTTTTTTTTTTTTTTTTTTACGGTGCCTTAATGACCTTTTTGGATCTTCTAAATTTTGGTTACCTGGACTTTCAGTGGAGGGACAGAAAATGCTCAGCATTCATTTAAAATATCTTAATTTGTGTTTGGAAGATGAACCAAAGATTATGGGTTTGAAACAACATAAGAGAGAGTAATTAATAGGGGTGAACAAACCCTTTTAACACTCTTAAGCACAGACAAAGAAGCATTAAAATTTGTTTAATGATAGTCTTTATGAAACTTAATGGCAAAATAAAAAGCACAGTAGACCTGTCGTGATATTCACAAAGTTGCATAATTTTGAATTCACTAACCCTACAAGGGATCCATGCGATTTCTCTTGGAAGTGAGACTGAAGCATCAAGGCTTATTATCCCCAACCTGCAGAGCAGATCATGAGGGCGATGAATCCCATCAGCAGCAGCAGCAGCAGCAGCAGCAGGAAGTGGTGCTGTGTGTTCAATAGTGACGCAGCTGAACGTGGCGGTCTGCTCCGCAGGTACTGATCCACCGAGTCGGTCAGGCTGTACTTCTTAGGACTGAAGCCCAGTTCTCGCTGCGCCTTCTCGATTTTAAAGGTGTGACTGACAGCAATGTTTCTCACCTGAGAGAGATGCAGAGGTCAGACAGCCATGCTAAGAACATGCTAAGAGCTGAGACAGAGATGAGATGATAGTGTCTCACATCAGACATACAGTACAGGTCACATCCGTTCACCTGCGGTACACATCAGACACGCCAGCTTTCAAAGCAGAACTGTGGTGCTTCCTCTTGTGAAAAAGAAGTGTGCGAACTTGTAGTGTACTTCAAATCTTACAAGTATATTTTTTTTTTTTTAAACTGTACTTGTAGATAATATGAATTAATTAAAAGGCAGTTTTAAGTGTATTTAAAGAGAATTAACTATGTTTTATGATGTTTCTTAACACACTTAAGTACAATTATAAAAAGTGCACTTTGTAATAAAGTCAAAATAAAAGTTCTAACTTTAAAGGTGACATATCATGAAAATCTGACTTTTCCAGGTTTTAAGTGCTATAATCAGGTCCCCGGTGCATCTACCAACCAAGGAAACGTGAAAAAGATTAACCCAGTAACGCGTCTGATTTCGCTCCCTTGGTGACGTGGCAAAGGGATCTCATTATAATATTACCGCCCCTTAATCTTTAAGTTTCCACCCACAGCGCCGTTGTTGTGTTTTCGCAAGCGACAACGGTGTACCAGTTCTAATGCCATGGCGAAAGTTTGAGCAAAACATGCTAACTGTTCTGTCTTTGGCTGCACTGACGAGCACAGAACACTGTTTAGAGTCCCAGCCTCAGAGGAAACAAGCAGTGGATTTATTGATTTATTTACTGTATATTGCTTCTGACACACAGATCTAAAATAAACATGCTATTTATTTCCCAG